GTGTAAGACATTTGTAAGGCACCACCATTACTGAATTTAATTACAAATGTCTTACACTACAAATTCATTACTACTGGTATATCATGAACTAATTATAGCAACTAAACTATAAATTCAGTAATGGTGGTGCCACTATAATTAATTCATGATATACCAGTAGTAATGAATTCATAGTGTAGTGTAAGACATTTGTAAGGCACCACCATTGCTGAATTTATAGTTACTATAATTAATTCATGATATACCAATAGTAATGAATTTGTAGTGTAGTGTAAGACGTTTGAAAGGCACCACCATTGCTGATTTTGTAGTTGTGTAAGAAATTCATGATATACCAGAAGCAAAGAATGTATAGTTATAATGCAAGATGTCTGCAATATAAGATTTATAATTATTATATAAGATACGTGAAGTATTGAAATTTTCTTCACATTTACAACATTAAATTGACTGCTAAACTCACTTCATTGAGCTGTCACTGCAATATGTTTATTGATAGGTTCTTTTTTATATAAAAACTTTTTTTCTCTTCCTACCACAAGAAATGAACTGTATTGATAAGCCACATTCACTGAGAACAAAATAACATCACACAAATATACATGTTTCTAACCACTTGCCTACAGCATACCAAGAAATTCCTGTAGGATATTTAAATTTGTATATGACATTTCGACATTTTTAAGTATGATGTCTTTGAACTTTATAAAATGCTGTAACCTACTTTCAAGCTTAAGGTAAATTCATATAATTAACTATGTGAAAAATCTTTAATAAAGAACTGATTTTTCAAAATTAATACAAATTTGTCAGTATATGGCCATACCATTGATTTTACCAACAATACTGTTCCATTTTTATTTTAAAACATTTTTGAACTCTTTTTGAAGATATCCATACATACTAGTGATATTATGATCATGAAAAATTGATATCTTAAACTTATTTTGAACAGTTCTGTAATGAATCTGTCAACACTTAAAAGAAAAGCAAGTTGATTCCACTGTGAATTTTAGACTATTTTGTTGACTATTAGCCCTAACTGCCCGGGCATTATTTACTGTGCATGTCATGAGGTTTTAGAGACTTACATTCAAAATTTTATTAAACTACTTTTTATTGATGTTATACCAATTAGTATAGCATAAAATCTTAGCTAATAATCCATATTTTAATAGTA